AGGTGAACTACAATGAAGCTGCTGAAACATCACAGGAATGATCAGTAGAGACAGAATGTGGCTGAGCTCAATTTAGAGCTTCACGCTAAAGGCTGTAAATACTGATGTACATGTGATTAATCAGCTTTTTTATTTTTAATATTGAATAAATATGCAACAATTAAAAAAAAACTCATTTTTTACACTGAATGTTGAGGAAATAAATGAATTTAATCCATTTTGGAATAAGGCTGTTACATAAACAAATGTGGAACAAGTGAAGCGCTATCAATACTTTCCAGATGTACTGTATTTGCACAAGAAGTGCATTGCAACAGGATTCATTTCAGTGCAAGTACACATTAGTTAAGGATTAGTAAAGGAACTTAAGGTTCTTACCTGACAAAATTCAGTTCAATGCATGTGACAAATCAAATGTTTTATAATCCACAAAACACAGTAATGCCTGGAAATACTGTAATACGTTCAAATTGGGCTGCGAATTAGTGCATATCTGCAATAGTCACGACACAGGATCTTCAATATCAAGCTGGGAATATAATTTATTTATTTTATTTAGTTTTTTTCGGGGTTTTCACCTGTAATGGATAGGATAGTAGAGATTGTTGACAGGAAAGCAAGGGGAGCAGAGAGAGGGGAAGGATCGGCAAAGGACCCCAAGGCGAGAATCAAACTGGGGTCGCCGTGAGCACCGGAGTGCATGTGTCGACACACTAACACTGGCGCCGACAAGTTGGGATTATAATTAACCAGAAAACACACCTTCATCTTTTATTTTAATCACCATCTGATGTGTAGAACATCCACAGAGGTTTCTACTTTAAGTCAAATATTAAATATGAATGAATGTAACAACAGGCTGCTGATGTGCACATGCACTACCTGACTAAAGTCTTGTTGGCTATCCAAGTTTTAGGAACAACAAATAGTAACTTCTATTTGATCATTTTGTATCAGGAGTGACTTATATGAAAGACAAAGGCCTCTAGATTACACTTATTTGAGCACATGAAAATATGATCATGGCTTGATTCCTAATGATTTAATCAGGACAGTAAACTCTGACTCTGCTTAGACAAAAGTCTCATCACTGAACAGAAATAATGTCCAGTATAGAATATAAAGTCCTGCTGCAGTGGAGACAGAATGAATATTGTGTCTGACTCCATCATGAGCTTGGAGGACTGCATCCATACATCTCATGACTCAAATCACTGATTAGTAGTAAGACATCTGTAATGACAAAGATGTTACATCTGAAATGGATCTTTTTAAAGCCCATGATAATTAGTGATGGGTCGTTCATGAACGATTTGGTAATTTTGATCGAATCTTCAATATGACTCGGGAACTAAGAGTCCTCTCAGGGAGTGATTTGTTCATCCGCGCGTGTGCACATTCGTGCAGGTGGTATCGTTCATTTTAAGTCTTTTGAGTCGTTCATCGCGTAAAGGCAGAAGCCAGTCATATGCGTTTAGAGCCGGAAAAAGAATTGAATCGTTCATCTCTCGAGTCCTCGGGTTTGAGTCATTCTGCCACGTGATGAACAAACGACTCAAGAACCGGAAGACTCGAAAGGTAAACTAATTATCATGGCTCCTATCGGCTCAGACTGTGTACATTGGTTAAGATTATGTGTAACGTGAACGAACCTCTGACATTTGAAGACATGAAGAGGTGAGCTGAGCAAAGAGACAACAATACCTTCATAGACGAAACTGCAGGTAAACACTGAATTATTATTTTCTCCTTCTTATAGTATTCTATTTATGACTTATTTGTCGTGTGATCAACCTTTTGGGCTCGTTGTAGATTTGTTTGGAAGCAACTCGTAACATTTTAATAATATTTTGGCAAATTGAACCAAATGAACAAAATGACTCGAAAAAAGATTCGTTCATCTCGATACGAGACTCAAAGATCCGAGTCAGTAAAATGATCCGAACTTCCCATTACTAATGATAATCCATAATTCAGTGAGTGGTTTAGCAGTGGCATAGCAGACGGGCCCGCAGGGCACGCACCACAGGGGGGGCCCCGCGTGATTAGGGGGCCCCACGTCGTCGCGATTTTCAATAATTAAAAATCCAGCAACCGCAATAATCAAACTCTTGGGAACAACTGTGGTCGTAACCAAAGTTCACAGGTCTGTGTTCTCTGAACTCCGCTCAAGCGGTGGACTACTTCATTCTGATTGCTTGCCGCCAAACCGCGTCACAGCCCGGTCATAGCTCATACCATAAAGTTGACTTGATTTCGACGCTCACACAGGAGAAGACGCGCCGCGCTGTTCCTCGCCGCCGGTTCTCATTGAAAATGAATGACTTCTGGCTACTTGACGCTCTCGCCGCTTTCGGTTTGTGATCGTTTCTCAGTTTGTGAAGGCTTTCCCACGTTGTTGCTCCACCCCGCCCCCTTTCCCGCTCCTTATAAGTTTGTGATTGCTCCTCAGTTTGTGAAGGCTTCCCCGCGTTGTAGCTCCACCCCGCCTTCCACCCCCCCCAACCTGGGGGGCCCGTCAGTGATCCCTGCAGGGGGGCCTCCACATTTTGCACTACGCCACTGCGGTTTAGATGACCGTATTTCTGTTATTGCACAATATCACCAGATAAATCTGACTGCAGTTTATAAAAGACACCCTGTCATGATTAATAGCAGCATCTTCTCCTGATCTTTCATATAGTCAGTCAGGATGTGTGTGTATGAGCACAGGCTGTTCTGAGATCCGTTTCAGACTCATGAACATCTGACAGACACGCAGAGACAGAAACACCAGATGAGCAGAGTTTGAACAGACACTAGAGGAGTTTACTGTGTGTGTGTGTGTGTGTGTGTGCGTGTGTGTGTGCGCGCATGTTCATCATCACTCACCGCCGCTGCTGGAGCTGTTGTTTTTCATCCAGTGTGTGTGATCTTCAGACAGGCTCAGCATTTAGCTAAGGGAACTCTCAATACTACGCTAGTTTGAGCTTGGCACAGGTATCATTTCATGTCTTGTGTCACATCGTTCAAATAGCATATGCATGTGCACCCATTTGTGCAGCCGTTGGGTGTGCTGTTGTGAAAAGGAGGCATGTTAAATCACATTGTTGTCACACTGCTATTTTGAGAAAACTGAAATAGACCTTCCCATCCTGAGTAATTCTGGATGGTTCTGGAGATGATCTTTAACCATCACAGATCTGTTTCATGGAAGCGTTCAGGTTTTACACTTACAAAGTCCATCATGTACTGGAAGTGGTGTTAGAGAGGCCAGCAGGGGGCGCTCAACCTGTGGTCTGTGTGAGTCCTAATGCCCCAGTATAGTGAAGGGGACACTACACTGTCAGTGAGCGCTGTCTTTCGGATGAGACGTTAAACCGAGGTGCTGACTCTCAAAATAATCTTGTTTTTTCTTTTGACGTAAGATTATTTTGCTTACCCCATTGGCAGATTATTTTGCTTGTTTTAAGGAAAAACTCACTTATTATTGGCATATTATTTCTCAAAACAAGAAAATACGTTTTTCTTGTCTAGAAAATTCTTCTTGATTCAGGAATTTTCAGATATTTGGACTAGAATCAAGAAAAAAGTAAGAAAAGCATTTTTTTGCAGTGCAGCAACTGGATGAATGTAAAGGAGGGTTAAGCAAAACCGTTTCTACTTTATAATTAATGTTCTCAACTCACAGCAATAAAACTTTACAATGAGTGCAACAGTTTGTATTCAATTCTTTATTGTTATTATAATTCTCCATTTTCCATATCTGCAATTCCTGTATTTTGGCATTTTTTTGCAGTCCACTTAGAATCCAACATGGAAATCAATGTTTTCTTTATTGGCATTGATTGTTTTTAAATTCAAATGTCATTAACATGCCTGTGTTTTAATTTCTGTAATAAATATGGCTGTCAAGCCAGGATCTTGATGGTTTATTGTGGGTTTATTGTTTACATGAAGAAATCTGTGTTACACGTTAAACACAAATTTTATTAAACAATTATATTTTGAATGTAAATAGTTTTTGTCTTGCGTTTACATTAATTTTACATTTGAAAAGGCAAAATTACAAGTTTCAGTATTTTAAATATGATTAATCACGATTAATTTAAAAAAAAGTTTGATTAATAAGTACATTTTTTTAATCGATTGACAGCACTAATATATATATATATATATACACATATTTTTGTGTGTGTGTTTGTGTGTGTGTGCTCATACCTGGAGCCTTACCCAGATTAACATTGTTATAGAAAAATATTAATTAAATTTTTTTAAAGGGGAAAAAAATCAAGAGAAGCAAAATAATAATTAAAAAAGGTGAATTTTTTTTTTTTACAAAATATTTTTTACGTTTTTTTTTTTTTTTTTTACAAATATTTTGCTTGAATTTAATTGTATTTCCTTACATTTCCGAATATGTTTGGGGACTAAAATAATATTTTAATAAATAAATCTGTTTAATAAATCTGTTTTGTTTAAATGCACCAATATACATTACCCATATTCACTGAGAAATGGATACAAATATTCATTTAAAAAATGCACCTGCCAAACTACTAAATGCAAATGAAACTAAATAAAACACCATTGAGAATATAAACAAAACAAATAATAACTCAAAAATATTTTGCAGTGGCGCAGTAGGTAGTACTGTTGCCGCACAGCAAGAAGGTCGCTGGTTCAAACCTCGGCTCAGTTGGCATTTCTGTGTGGAGTTTGCATGTTCTCCCTGCATTCGCTTGGGTTTCCTCCACAGTCCAAACACATGCGGTACAGGTGAATTGGGTAGGCTAAATTGTCCATAGTGTATGAGTGTGTGTGTGGATGTTTCCCAGAGATGGGTTGCGGCTGAAAGGGCATCTGCTGTGTAAAAACTTGCTAGATAAGTTGGCGGTTCATTCCGCTGTGGCAACCCCAGATTAATAAAGGGACTAAGCCGACAAAAAAAATGAATGAATGAATATTATAAAATAAGTTGAAATAGAAAAAAACAACACCTGAATAAAAATCCCACCACGTTGTGTAATAAACCTTAGAGCTTTAGTAAGTATTTACATGAATTCAGCACAACTGTACAACACAGAAACAGGGTCACCTGTGTCAAACATGACGCGATATACGTTATAGTGTGTATAAAAAGCTCAGAAAAGATTTCTCCCAGAAAGCCAAAACTCCCAAGATGCAGCTGAGATGAAAGTGCAGAAATGAATGAAAATAATGTTACCAAATACTCACCCTCATCAAAACATCTTCAGAAACATCTTACAACATTAAAGAGAGTCATGTAACGAGCAAGTCATGTTGATTAATTCAGGTATAATGCTTTACGGCAATTCTGGAGAAAGAGATGCAATATCAACGTGCTTTTCTTCAGATTTTAAACAGATAATCCACCCAAAAATGATCTCTCATCATTATTTATGCACTCTTACGCCTCTCCAAAAAAGAAGATGTTCTGCAGAATGTTGATCACAATGGAAGTCGATGGAAATCAAAGCATAATATGCTCTAAAAGCATACAGGCTTGAAAAAAACATACAATTTGTGTGTGAACGGCCCCTTTAAATGACACGAGCGTGAGTAAATAATAGCAGTTATAATGCTTTACAGCACTTTGGGGGAAATAGATGCATGGAAAAGTGTTTTACTTTAGGTTTTAAACAGATAATCCACTTAAAGGTGATCTCTCATCATTATTTACGCACTCTCAAGCTTCTCCCAAAAAAAAGATGTTTTGCAGAATGTTGATTACAATGCAAGTCAATGGAAACCAAACCATAATATCCTCTTAAAGCATACACGCCTGAACACAATGACTATTTTTGTGTGAACAGCTCCTTTAAATGACACACGGTGAGTAAATAACAACAGAATATGCATTTCCTAATGCAAAACCTAATAAAAACAGGTCATTCACATCTCATTTCCTTCATCCTCACAGGTATTTCCTCTGGTTTCAGGTCTACAGTCTAATTTCCTCCTAATAAAGCTGACTTGTGGGCGTAAGACACACAGCGCCCCCTGCTGGAGGATGTTCAGACCCACATCAGTGTGTTTGGATATTACAGATGCTTCATTTCGGTCTTTATATTAATTTAAATCTGTACAAAGTGATTTATAGTCAATGGCAAACCCTGCACCTGATTTCTGAGGACTCTGAACAGCTCTTTGGTGAACTTTAAACCAGTCTCAGGAGCTTTTTCCAGTCTTTCTCGAAGCTGGCGTGGACTTCAGATGAATCCAGTCCAGAGCTAAGTGTTATTTCACAGACAGCAGCAGATTTATCTGGACACATAAGATGCAGAAAGTCAATAAACACAATAGACATAGGCCAATATTCAATATATGGTGATAATAGGGCTGGATGCTAATTATTATCAGTAATATTTATGATTACGATACGCTTTTAGATGTATTGTGCAGCCGTAATTCCAGCACCTGCTCCATGGATGGACATGCGATGATCTGCAGGTCTTCTCCACTGTACTCCTCCTGCAGTAATGCATGCAGCTTCTGAAATGCCTGCTGGATGTTGTTCTGAAACACAGTTTAACATCATCAGGATCTTCTGTTTCCTGCTGCAAGAGCTTTATATTAGGAGCAATTGACCTAGCTCCTTATCTTTGAGCTGTTACTTTTCTATTTGTTAACGCAAATATAAAAGTAACATGATTGAATACAACTGAAGATATTAAAAATGTAAAAATAAACAAATTAAAAGGTTTAACAAAAAGATGTTTAAAGTAAAAGCCAACTTAAAAACATGTAGGAATTATTAATGAATAAACATGAATACTATATTATAATAAATTAATAATAATAAATAAAGTATTATAATGAACACACAGTTAGGTTTATAAAAGTTGTGGAATAGGACCCAAAAAAAAAAACAAAAAAAAACCCTGAGGTACTAAAATGCCATCACTGAATTAAATATTAATACGTCTATAAAAAATATAAACAAAATAAAATATATTGAAGAGATTCAAAATATCAATAAATAAAAATACTTGAACATTATTTAATAAAAATAAAATTAAATAAATAATAAAATATTTAGATAAAATTTATTCCATAAAATATCAAAACTGATATTAGTTAGAGATAAATATATAAAAAATAGAAAAGTAAAAAATATGTTAATAAAATGCAAATCAAATATTACTAATATTAAGGACTACGAAGAAATACTGGCAAATTAAAAAAAAAATTATATATATATATATATATATATATATATATAGACATATATATATATATATATATATATATATATATATATATATATATATATAGATAGATAGATAGATAGATAGATATATATATATATATATATATATAGATAGATATATATATATATATATATATGATAGAAAATAGAAAACTGAATTGAAATGAAAAAAAAATAGAAAAGTAAAAAAAATGGATATAAAATGCCATTCAAAATAATCAAAAATATTAAAATAGTACTAAGACATAAAATAACAAACAAAACTATATATTAAGAGAAATAAAATGGATAAAAGGAAGCAATCCCATGTCTAAATATATAAGATTTAAAATGAATAGTAAAATTATACACACACACACACACACGCACGCACACACACATATACATATAAATATATATACATACAAAGTTTAAGCATAAATCTTCTTTTCTATGATCTGAACGACAGTAGGTAAAGCACAGAGTTTACCATAAAGTCAAATGAAAGCTCTGATCTGGCTGATTAATAAATATCCATTTAATATTAAAGGATTAATAAAGAGATTCTCACCCGGACCGGCTTGAACAGGATGAACTCTGTGTCTTTATTGGCCAGATATAAAGTCATGCTCTGTAATGTACTGGGAAGCTTGTTCTTCAGGACTCGATATGTGGACATCACCACGTCATTAATCTTGGCTAAAAATATAGAAAATAGAATAATACAAATGCTTATTTATACAAGTAATATATAAAATAATAATAATATTAATTATATATATATATATATATATATATATATATATATATATATACACACACAAATACACAAATACACAAATACACAAACACACACACACACACACACACACACATATCTATACATGTATATGTATATATATATATATATATATATATATATATATATATATATATATATATATATATATATATATATATATATATACACATACATATATATATATATATACATACATACATACATACACATATACATATCTATACATACATACATACATACATACATATACATATATATATATAAATAAATATACATATATATATATATATATATATATATATATATATATATATATATATTCAATTAATATCTTATATATATATCAATTTAATATCTTTACAATATTTTAAAAAGTCTCATTGATCTAAATTATCTTATTTATTAGTTCCATGTATTTTATGAATTACAAAATTTTATATCTAGAACATATGGAATGCAATCTAGATTGTTCACATATTCTACACAGAATTAATTTTAAGGTATGACAGAGCCTTTTTTAAAGAGAATAATCAGTCAATCATCTTTGCTTTCATTATTATCTTGGAATATGTTGATTAGCCAGTAACTGTGCTAGCACATGTGGACGAGTGAAATTCAGACTTCAGTCATATACAGTGCTGCAGAAAATCATTCAGTCTAATCAAACAGGTGATTAATGACAATCATTAGTTAATGGTGTGGTAATTAAGGCTCGATTGGTGTCTGACCAGGCTGAGCCCAGGGCTGCTGGGAAAGGTTGTATGTTGGTCCTCCTTGAACCGCCATCGTTTTCAGAGCTCCAACCTGTTAATAATGAACAACTGTTCAGATTTTCAGCACATTTTTACACACAGGTAATGCAAAAATAAAATAAACAAAGAAAAAGAAATGTACTTTTGCAGAACTATCCAGATTTTCAGCACATTTTCACAGTAGTAATGCAAAAACAATTAGCAAAGAATGTAAAATGGGGAGAAAAGTATAAAAATTCATATGAAACAATTGAAACACATTAAAATGCAAAAAAAAAAATTACAAATACCTAAACGCATGCATACAATATATGCGTGTGTGTCCGTGTGTACACACACACACACAGCTTTATTAATACAATTCAATTTATTAATACAATTCAAACCTGTGTGATCTAAAGTGAAGATGTGCATCTAAAAAAGTACATTAAAGGTGCAGTGGGTGATCTGCCAAAATACTAACCGCTTAACATATTATTTTTGGACGGCGGGAAGGGACTGTGATTCAAAGCCACACCCCCTGAAATCGTGAACGTGCGCACCGCATCACAACAGCAGACAGACGACCCACTAGTTCATGTCATTCGCCAGCTAGTTAGTGCCAGCGCCGTGCAGGAATTACATTTATTACTTTGAATATTCGCTCTGAAATAGCATGTAAGTGTGGCAGCGTAGCGGTAAACAGTATAGGAAGGCTGTCATTGCGCAAAAATGACCAAATGTGAATAGAAAAACAACCTCAGCTCAATCAAGCAGGTTAGGTGGAATAGCACTATTTACTGATGTTTTGTTGTTAAACTAAATATAAATCTACATTATCGACGCTTTAAAAGGACCTTATAAAACTGAAAATAATCACATCAATCTTTCACCGGGAGATTTTAGTGGCTGAACAACACGTCTGTGCATATAAGTCATTCATAATACAACACACACTAACATAAGCTTAGCCTTAGGCTGCTTTCACACCTGTGAATCGATTCAGTTGTTCTGAAACAGAGATTACGGTTGTTACATTGTTGCTCTTTGCTCTTGGAGCGGTTTGCTTTCACACTGCAAAGTTTCTAATTGGACCAAAAGAGCTAAAACAAGTCACGTGCGAGTAAACTCTCCTCACATTGGTCAGAGTTTATTTTGCAGCGTCCCGCTCAGCTGTCAGGAGAGGTGGTGGTTTGGTGGTGATTGACAGGGTGCGCGCGTGTGACGTGTCTGAGGAGAGACGCGGTGGGGAGGGGTGAGGGTGCGCGACGATGC